GGCAGGGCTAGAGAGCTGGTAGTACTGTGCATGAAAACTAGCTTAAGATCCTAGGAGCTTAGGTTCCCCTGCACAGACACAAAGTAGTTTGGGGATCGGCAGCTTGAGGGCGTGGTGGGGTAAATATAAGTGGCTCAGATGATTACCTCACATGTAACTGCCAAAACCCAACAGATATATGTACATAACAACTACCAATAGGAATCAAGGGTCATAGAATCACATATTGTGTAGCACAGCCACTTATGTAGCATCTGGTATCAAAGTCCCTATAAAAGGGATAACTCAGATATTAAGTTTTTCTCCTTCATCATATAATTATTTATTCAAAACTAGCTATTATTATTACATTTATTTAAAACTAGCCATTTAACTTGCAGATACAAGCCTCAAGTCTCCCTGTATGTAGAACGGAGTAAACTGCTCACATATGAGTTAAGTAGTATAACCTCTAATCAAAGCATACAAGTAGCATTATATGTGTTGTAATGATATATTAAATATGTTCATGAAGAATCAATACAACATGTAAATTATCCTTGCAGAAATCTGTTACATCAAATACTATGGATTTACTTATCCAGTTTAATGGAACTTACTTTCAAGCACATACATTATTACAGCCACAGGTTCACTACTGCAAAAACAAACACAGCAACTTTTTCTGTTACAACTGCCTTGGAAAGCAAATGCTCAATGTGTTATTCACTACACCAGTTATTTTAATCTTCACAAATTGGGGGGGGGGGGGGGGAGAGACAATCTGTACAAAAATTACATTTATCTGTATTAAATGTATTGGAAAATATAGTTTCAAGAGACAAAGTTTTGAATTTTAGTGGCTTTGAAAATACCTAATGGCTACTGCAGTCAAAGCACAACACATATTTTTAACTGGTGCTAAAAGTCCTGAAGACAGGGCAGTAGGATTTCTGCCAGTCCCCCCTCCCCACATCAATTACTCCTGCTCCCTTCACAATTGTGTAGCATGGCATCTGATGGAAACTGATCACAATTAACACAAATTCAGGTTGTTCCAAACCTACTTTTTAGGAGTTTAAAATATAAAGCTTTGACAGCATGCACATGAGCACATGCACAGAGGTGTCTGCTTACTCTGACATCATTATAAACTATGGTAAAAAGAAAGTAATGTGTTGAATTCACATGGAAGATGAGAGACTGCACAGAGCAGCAACCTGCTCACCATCTCTTAATGTTAAGTAGGTAAAGGCCAACATTATACTATATCTGTAGTCCTTAAAGTACAGACCACAAACACATGTTCAAAATATCAGCTAAAATATGATATATTTATTAAACATACCACAAATACTTGGCTCCAAACATTTTAAAGCAATTTGAGTTAAAGGAAATACTATCTTAGGTAGACATTTAACGTGCCTTTGTTACTACACAGCTATTAGTGCTTAGTAAAGAAGCAACCCAAAACCAGCATTTCTGAATGTACACCAGGACAGCCCCAGAAAGCTGGTAACATCCACTCCATTAAAGAGACTGCTATATGGTGATGGTACTTTACAACTCAAGATATATGACCCATCTTTACTACGAGCAGGCTGATTAAAAAGCACTTCAACATTTACAGAGCTTTGTAGGGTTGGCTACTCAACTGATCATTCAATGTTAAGTACTTCTATTGTTTCACTGCAGTCATACAGTCAGAAATCCATGAATTCCTTTGGATTCCTTCTTCTCTTTAATCACTACAGGTGATAGTAAAGGTAGGTACAAGGGCTCCTAGCAGGAAATAAGGGGATGATCCAGCCACTCTGCCCACCAAAATCTGAAGCCTTACACAAAGCCTATGCGGATCTCTGGAGGAAGCTACCGTAGGCAAGATGGAAGCCTTCAAACTTTGTGGAACAGCATGGCTGGATGCACTTCAGGATACATATCTGTTAGACCACTGGTTTGATCAGGCACAGTTGTTGTATCTTGCCCAGCAGCCAAGTGTTTCACAGAGTGGCCAACCAGATGTTCCACCCCAGCACTGGTACTGCTCCCAACATGGTCACATCATGGCTAACAGCCACTGCAGTACCTATCTTCCACACAGGTGTCTCTTAAAAACAGCTCATTTCAACACCATATAATAACCATAGTTTAATTAAAACTGACCTTTTTTCTTTTATAATAGCTACCTGTGCTTTAATTTTAAAATAAAGTTTGCCACCGCATAGGTTATCACTGATAAAAACAAAGGACTAGCCACTTGGACCAAGCCAGTAGGAAAGCAAGAGACAAATTTAAGTGATTACTCTATAAACGAACTATGAAATCTCTTAACACTCACATACATATTTGCATACTTCACATAAAGGAATAGGTAATGGTAAAGGTTTCATACAACTGTTTAAAACCAGCTCTATTTCATTATAATAGTTTTTTTACAATTAATGTCTCTATTACAGTTTTAATAAATATTTAAATATATGGCCCAATTGTGTATTTATGATCAAATGAAAAATTCTATTGTCTTCCTTTTTTTGTAAAGCACTACTGAACTTAGAAAACTAGTTCATAAATTTTACAACCTGGGTTGCATTCCCATTAAGCACACTTGTTTAAAATAAAATTAACTAACACATACTGATTCCCATTGGATACATCCAAATCTACACAATTTCAGAAGCTGTCAATCAAGGCAAGATTTAGGAACCAATCCTAAACTTATTAGGATGAGTGTACAATCAAAAAAGGTTTTAAAACAAACCAGCAGCTCCAATTTCCACATAACTAATGAACAAGTTTACTAGCACTACAATGCACTAGTTTTCACTTCTCCCAACTGTCAACAAGTGCTCATGCATATTAAAATAGTCTTCCTTCTCCACACCATCCTAAAATGCAACAGAAAATGATTGCACAAATTATAAGAAATTCTATTGCCAATTTCATTTGACAGATTTGAGACAGGTTTCCTAATTTTAACAGGGTCAGTAGTTAACCTGAAATCCTTGTTTAAGATACTCACTAAAGATACACTAAACATGGAACATTTGAAAGTATAAATTATTTTCTGCACAAGACTACAATTCAACAAACCATGCTAGAAAGTTCCATCAGAATCAACTGGATTTCTATTCATATAACACGAGCTTCAAATCAAAGTACCAATTCATCCAAGGATCTCACACAAAAATTGTATGTGAATTTTTCATGGAATATATATGAACCATCTAATTGCATACAGTACACAAATGCAAAGTACTCACTACAATTCAATATATTTTGATTACTTATCTGATACTGATTAACACAATTATTCAGAAACACTATCAACTTATGAGCATGGATGTAAAGTGAACTTTTCTCATGCTAAAATTACTTTCATCAGTATGAAAATGGGTCAGTGCAATAAAAGTTCAACAATGTAACAATTGTGAAAGAGGGAAGTATGGAAAAATTCCACACAAGAATTAAGTATTTATCTGATATTTGCTGTTCAACTGTTGCATCATCATCATCATTAGGTGTTCAATTAGCCATAGGTCAAGAATTCCGCCAGCTAAAGAAGACAAAGACTATGAGATGGACAGTGGAGATGAGTGTTTTTGCTGAATACAAGCATCGTCTAGAAAAATATATTCTGCAATACTTCCAGCAACTGTCATTAATGTCGTCATTACACTATGGAGTGTCTTGTCTGTAACAAGCATATCACTACATAAGGCATCCCTACACCCTCCAGCACAGACATACATATACTGTTTAGTCAGTTCCTGTACTTTTGCCAAGCAGGACTGAGTCATTTTTGAAAATGACTCCAGCTGCTGCTCTCCCCCCTCCCCAAATGCCTGCAGGGAACAACTCTTGGAACAGAAACAAAAATCCCATTCCTCTTTCTCCCAAAGTACGCATGAAATTTCTGGCATTCCAAAATGCTATTTTCCTACAGTAGCAGATTGCTAACAGTGATGGGATACAGTCTTATATTTAGAATCAGAAAAAAAAATCATTTGTCTTTTCCTTAATGTATTCACCCCCTCCCACATATACTTAATTTCTCAATTCTCTTGACATAGTGCTTGCAGGCAGAAAGGCAACATTAGTCTCCCATTTAACAGAAACCAAGTTCACCAGGGAACCAAAGATAAGGGGTTAAAGATAATATCAAAGAACTATGGGCTAGCATCTGATTACAAAGAGAAGTTTCCAATATGAAGGTATTTAGGATCCTGACTCTGCAATCTTATGCAAAAATTTAAGTGGACTGGAGCATCACTACATACAACTGCCAGTCAGCAACTGCCATGGGGAGTTCTAAAGAGATTTGACTCCCAAGAAAATATATTCCCAAATGATAGGTGGGAATCTGTAACTTTCCCAGACTGAACAAACAAAAACTTGTTGTCACTATAGGAATTCTTTTCTCCTCCCTAAGCTCCTATTTGCAGATCCACATTTCTTCCTTACTGCCCCTTCCGAACTTTCTAGGGGGAAAAAAAATATTTCAACAGGCCCAGCTGAATACCACGCCAGCACTCTAGGTACACTGAAGAGGAAAGAGGGGAGGGGGTCCTAAATGCATCGCCCACCAATCAAATGACTGAATTAAAAATAAAAAAAAACCTCGCTGTTAAGAATTTTTCGAGCGGGGGAAGAAAAAAAAGGGTGGGTGGGAATTGTGTTTTAAACACACAGGCACAGAGGCGCCTTTTATATCCTAACGGAAGACTCTCCAAATCCACAAGTCGAGAAAGTGTACCGGTCGTCTGTCCGTCCCCCGCCCCCCCGGATCTTCCAAGCCAGAAGTGGAAGCAGGCTCTGTCCCCACCTAACCAGCACTTTCAGCCGTCCCAAAAACTCTAGAACCCAATTCTCCCCAATGCTAACCAACCCCCCCCCCCAAAAAAAAACCAGGCCCCAGTTCCCTCCCTCTTCAGCCTTCGCTCCCTCCAAACAAAGTCTCCCGCCCGGCCCCCTTTCTCCCGTTCTCTAAATGTCTCCCCAAGAATCCCACCCGCTCAACTCACCAGCAAACTTTCTACGTTGACCGGAGAGCGGGGATCCCGGATCATTGACTCCAGCTTCCTCTGGCGGCCCATAACGAACCCTTCGTCGGGGTCCGGCGGCGGGGAAACGGACATTTTCCCCGTCTGCTGCTGCGGCGGCGGCGGCGGCGGCTGATGGTTCATTCTCCCGCTCCCCGCGGGGCTCTTTTCAGCTGCTTCGTTCTCCTCTCGTCCTGCCGGGGCGCCAAGGCGAGGCGGGCGATGGCTGGCTGGCAGGCAGAAGCACGGGGAGGGAAGAGCAGCCAGCGACTGCCGCCTTCCGCCGCCAGCGCCGCCGGTACCCGCTTCAGGGCCTATTGAGCGGCTGCTGCTGCCGCCCCTGGAAAGAGGAGCCCTCCGCCACCTTGGGGGAAGCGGCAGACTCGCCGGCGTTCCTCAGCCCCGGCCCAGCTCGGCCGCCCTCCGGAGGAAGACAGGCCAGGGGC